AAGGCCATGTGTCTGCAATGGCCAGTTTCAAGTTTAAAATCGTAACACAAATACTTAGGCTTTGCCACCCTTAGTGTAGCGCTTCGTGGAAACGCCATGGGTTATCCCATCTAGCCCAGTTTTTCTAAAGATGATAGGTCACCGGAACATTTAGCCGAGATGTTGATTTTTTTTTTTTTTTTTTTTTTAGTTTTGCTTTACCTTTAGATGCATACTCTCAGTTCCATTTCAAGGTTTGTGTTATTTACCGATTTTAAACAGGTTGAAGAGCATATTGAACTTTTGATTAGGTTTCTGACTTAGAGTCTAAGCGGTGAAATGGCATTTGGGTCGACAATGGACCAAGTATGCCCCGGGGGTCCCGTAGGATTACTGCAGTCATGGAGCCGAGAGATGCCTGCCGCCCGGTGCCGCGTGGCTGCTCTGCTCTAACATCTTAGCACGAGGGATTGTCCCCGTGTGGGTGGTGATGCCAAGTCTGGCACCTGTAATGACGGCCGCAGTGCCCCCTGTGAGGTTGGCACAGCGAGGAAACCTAACCGAGCCGGGAGGCATTCCCTTTGCGAAGCAGCACATGCCTGTGCGTTGACATCTCAATGGTTAGGAAAAAGGAAGAGCTTTCCTTCTCTAAAAGTACTAGAATCCATTGAATGTGATTGCAAACCCCATTGCATCTGATTCTTCTTATATGTGGTATATTTAAAAATCTAGAATCTGGCAGTTCTTCAGGAATAGAAGTAGTCAAAAGTACACATTTGTACATACAAATCGCTGAAGTTGTACCTATGGACTAATGTGGCCTACTTTCGCAGCATTCCAAACACTTCAACACACACACACACACACACACACACACACCCAGGAGCAGACATCACAAACATCACAGATATTTGAAAATTTAAAATATCTGAATATCTGGCAGTTTTGAGAGGGATAAAAATGATATTTTGATAACTTTGATACTGTAATGATAAAAGATTGCCAGGAAGCATTAAACAGTAATTTTTAGAAAGTAAACATTTAAAAGTTATCTGTATGTAAGCTTGCACTTGACATTTTTCATGATTTATTTTTACGTTATTAAAATAAGAAAATTCTAGGAATGGGTTGAGACGTTTCCCACTCAATATCTGTAGACAAGCCAAAGATGAGGTTTTGCCTACGAGCCTAAAATCATTTTTGTGTGTGTGTGGAAGAAGAAAATCTGTTCTGTTTGTTCACAACATGTAGAATTATGTATTCTATGTATTGAAGAAACCATGTCACCAAATTCAGGTGTCAAAATAATTTTGCTAGTAAGGAACTTAAAAAATAATGAAAATTTGAAACACTGAATCAGAAGTTAAAAATAATTTTAAAGAATTTTCCGTAAGATCTATTAACAGCTTAGTAGGAACCAAAGATTAAGTAGTAAGCTTATTTTCTATTAGGACTAGAAAATGTTTTCTAGTAATTTCTGAAACAAGGTTAGCTTATTAAGGGCAGCATTAATCTGAGGCAAAAAGATGTGTTTTCCACACTTTTTTTTTTTTGGTCAACCTACATGAGAAAACAAAACAACTACATTAAAAAAACAAAGTGAACTAGGAGTTGGGAGAAATGGTTCTAGCTCCAGCTTTGGTACAGTTAGCTTTGTGAACTTGAGCAAGCCTCCTTTCTTAATTGATAAGAGGGTTCTGCAAGAATGGTTCAAGTTCTCCAAGATCTGGTTCTCAGTCATCCATGGAGAGCTTTTTCAAAGGTGTTGATGTCATTGCCATGTCTAAACCTCAGCCTGTGTTTAAGGTTTTTAAAAGCTCAAGTTATGCTAATACCTGGTAATTTGAGAACTACTCTACTAGATCAGTATTTTCCAAACTTAGCTAATCATCCAGTCGCTTTGAGGAATAAAAGTTTTTGTCCTGCTCAGAGCAATTGAATCAGAATTTCTGGGGAGAAATGTGGTAGTCTGTATTTTTAATAGGCCCACCCTAAGTGATTCTTAAGAAATTTGGGGGAAAATGGATATTACAGTTATTTTGTACTGTAATAAAAGTTTCTGTTAATTAGGTGGTGAAGATACATGAATTCTGGTATTTGTAGCTATGCATTGTCTCAAAGATATTCTATTTCTGACATAGTGTAGGAAAAACTTAAATCTATGATTTTTATTCACAACTACTTTGATTATAAAGTTAAAATATGATTATACTATATATGCAAATGAGATTCTAAATTGAAATTCACATAATGCACATTTTTTTCTCTTTAAATGTTTTTTTGCACATGTTTTATATGGTGAATATTTTGCACAAGATTTGTTTGCCAAATGAGTTAACTTTTAAAAAAAATACCCATTTGGTATACTTTCCTCTCAATATAAGATGGGACGAAAGTAGGTTTAGTGTTCATATGGAAAATTTTATAACAAATAATAATATAAGAATAAACCCTTGCATACTCACCACTGTAAACCTACTTTTGCCCCACTCTGTATTTTCATGCCTGGGGTGAAAACACTGGATTTTTATAAAGTGTTAACAATATAAAAATACTTATAAATAAACATGTGGACATATAGAATATTAATTAGTAAGTAGAGGGCTTCTATCTAGGTCTTTAGAAATAAATGATAGAGGTTGGGAGAAGTCAAAGGGAGATGAAATTCTTGTTTATTTTTTCATTCATTTCTTCCTTTCAACCAGTTCTCTTATGCACAACTCCAGCCACCTAGCTTTATATTGTAGCTGAAGATTGACTCAATTAAGACAATCCATAAACAACTCCAAAAGGTTAAATACTGAGTCCTTACTTTAGACATATCTGCAGTAGAGTAGGAAAGGTAAATATACATCCAAGTAACTATTGTATAATTTCCTGAAATATGCTAAAGGTCAAAAGTTTTACAGGGCCGTCACTGGGGGAAAAGTTTAACATGAGCAGTTTATATAGAGCTTATGATTCTGTCTTTCATTGATAAGGAGGTATGGTTAATCCTTTGTTTTGGGAAGAAGTTATTTGCTCGTTATGAACAACTTTCCTACCATTTTTCCTCTTCTCCCGCCTCTTCCTCATGTAAAACAAGAACAACAGAACTCCACCTAGTCCCTCACCCCCACAGAATGATGGGAACCTTGCTGAGAGACTTGGAGAATCTGGAGAAGTGAGGTTGGAGAAGATGATTACACATTCCATTTGTAATAAGGCTTTCGTTTGATTCTCACATTAATCCCAGTAGGTAGTATAGCATTATAGTGTGTCATATTTGTTTGATATCTCACAGGTAGAGCCTGGATAACCCAGGTATGCAAACTCCTACCTGAAGTATTAATGCATTACACGCTAATCTTCACTTCTTGAATTGTTTGGGATTGTAATGTGCTAGTATGTGTGTGTGTGTGTATGCATGCGCGCGCCCACTACTATTTTAAGAGAGCCCTTTCATTCTTAATAAAACCTGGGTTCTGTTCTTAGTTTTTTTTTCCTCTAACTTGGTTAATGCTTTTTTCTTTTCCATGATTTTTCTTATTTCTAAAATCATCTAGTTTCAATAAGTCACTAATTTTAATTAAATTACAGATGCAACTTCGTACATCAGAGTTCACTCAATGCTCCATAAAATATCTGGTTTATAAATTAGTATAAATTAGTACTGAAGTAAACGTCTTCCCTCCTTAGGCCATTAGTCAATTAATTGTATTCTTAAGTGTACAATTCAGTGCTATTAAGTGCATTCATATTATTGTGCATCCCATTCCCAGAACGCTTCATCTTGCAAAAGTGAAACTATCATTAATTTATTTTTTATTCCTGAATCTGCTAATTCAACTATTATTCAAACTATCAAAGTGAGTTTTTCTTTAGCCAAAAAACCACAGACATCATGTACAGGTTTGATGTAGGAAAGCACTTTGGCTGTTAGAAAGACATTTTTCTTTTCCTAGCCCCTTATAAACAAGTTATTGCATTTATTAAATTTTTTTATTTTTATTTATTTTACTTTGAAATATATTTTTATTGATTCAGAGAGGAAGGGAAAGGAGAAAGAGATAGAAACATCAATAATGAGAGAGAATCATTGATCAGCTGCTTCCTGCATGTCCTCTACGAGGGATCCAGCCTGCAGCCCAGGCATTTGCCCTGGCCAGGAATTGAACTGTGACTGGGAATATAACCATGACCTCCTGGCTCATAGATTGAAGCTTAACCACTGAGCCACGGCAGCTGGCCTAAATTTTTATTTACCAGAAATTTCTGTGCCAAGTATAGTGATAAGCACTGGGGAAACAATCTGAATACAACATCACTGAACTTGCTCTCCAGGATCTTACGATCCAGTAGGTGAGAAACAGATTGGTAAATACATAGTGATAGCACCATGTATAATGGAGGTATGAACTGAATGCAATGGTGGCACAGATGGGGCATCCGGGAGGCATCACCGAATAGCCAGGTCTGGAGGGTAAGTTTTGGCCAAGCAGAGGCAGAAGTATATGAAAAGCATGAAGAAATGAAATGGTAGATTCAGGGATGGAAAGAGTGTTAGTATGTGGAGCGTGTACAACATATTTTGGGCAATGAGGAAAAGCTTAAATGAATAAAGATCTTGTCAAAAGTTTTTTCAGCAGGAGGGTGATCAGATACACTTTTGGGTATATCTTGGGGGCTAGGAGACAGTAGACTACTGAAAGATCAGAAGACAAGTTAGGGAGCTTTCAATCACTTTCATTAAATGTTAAGCACCTAATATTTAGTATATACTGTTCTATGCTGAGGGAAGATAGCAGT